TATGAGAATTTGAAAGTGGAGCAAATTGAGATAAAATAACCTCTAATGCGTTCTGGGTGATCAGTTTTTTTCTTTTTCTTTCTTTTTTTTTTCTTTTTCTATCAATCCATCTGTGGTCAAATAGGTCAAAATATGGTAAAATGATCAAATACACGAAATTAGTCTCCCTAAAAAAAAATACTCTTTTAATAGTTCCTATCGTTTCCGTATCCATTCAGCAGCTTCAATATAGTATTGTAACTGCCAATCAAATGCGCTTTAAGACAACTTATAGGCCTATAACTCATATACGCCATTATTATGGATTACAGTGTCACGTGATAATCAGCATTAAGTATGAAAGAACGGAAGGTCTACAAGTCATTGGCCTACTGCGAAAATCCTTACTGAGAAGAGCCAGACACGATGTTTGTACCAACCGTTGCCGTTATTTTTTTCTGCTTTTCACGTATAGATACGCGTAAGTTATCTTTATTTTATATTTTCTACTTGATTTAACTTAACTGAAATAGTAGATTATTAATTCATTGATGAACATAGTAGATTCATTGATGAATATAGTAGCATATAATTGATTTATGAATATAGTAGGATATTTACTCATTGACAATTTGATGCCATTTTACATTGTGGTCCTAAAAATCCTCCCTTTGATCACACTTTGCCTTCTGTATTTCCCGCCGATTCTAATAAATATATAAATAAACAATGAAGGGGTTAGGTCTAATAATTTTCCCAATTTGTTTTTTCTTCTTAATGGTTATAGTATACTTATCATTCAATAAGTCTGCGTCATCATCAACAACTCATAGTTATTTTTTGCCTGAAAAAGTTACGGACGGAGATGATAATTCAAACATGTTCACGCCTTGTTTCCATTCAAGTAAGTAGGCCTAACTGACTAAGTTGTTGTGAGCAGTGGTAGCTTCAAGTGACTCAGCCCCCACCCCCTACTTAATTGTTCAATATTATTGAAAACAATGGAGAGAAAAAAGGTGAAATTATAGGCCCTATTCAAATTTAACTCTGAAAATGCAATTTCCGTCCATCTAGAGGTGACATAATCTTAAATGGTGGGCTCGGGTAGTGTCTATAGACCATCCATCTATGGAAGTCCCACCAGTGGTGGCACCAGAGGGGGTGCTGGGGGCTATAGCCCCCCCCCCCCCCCCCCCCCCCCCCCGGCCCGGGGAAGACGATAAATATTGAGGGGAACAAATAAAAAAAAATATTCACATGTAATATTCGTTTGGCCACCGTATTGTTTGTGTTAACTTTTCATCACAACAACACAACAATAATAATAATAATAATAATAATAATAATAATAATAATAATAATTCAATGAGACTAAATAAAATAATTTGCGTTCTGTTATGACAAATGCTCATTTAGATAGCCTCATGATGGTTGGAATGCATCGTGATAGGCGAAGCAACCTCGACCATGACAGCGTGGTTGACAGATTTCATGCAAAATTTCAAAAATATAGAAATTCACTTTCAAGAATGAGGGTTTGAAAATAAATTAGATGGTTACATTGCATACTCTTTGTTTCTTGCTTTATTCAAAATGTTTTGATTTTGGAAGCTGATTTTAACATTAGAAAGCATAGCCTACATGAAGTCATATTATAGTAACTCGATGCCTAAATAAATACAATATACAATAAATTACAAATAAGTAATAACAATTCGCCATAATTCATCAAATATCCGTTGCTTCCAGGGGGCTTCTCCCCCTGGACCCCCACCGGGGCCCCTGTGCGTCCTCTGTTTCGAACTCTTGGATCCACCACTGTGTCATGTAGAGCTGTTATTTGTGGTTAATAATGCTTGCCTACCAATCCTAGGGACATTGAAATGAAATCTTTATAACGCCAGGGGTATTTCTCATGAATAATGCCTGACGCAAGCTCCGACGAATTCGTCAGCACGCTTGCCCAATGCACCGCCAGTCCACTGACCGGCGGTGTGGTAGTTTGAGCTGATCGTTGTTAGAAAGCCCTTTCGTCATAAATAAAATTATAAAACAGCAGAATTTTAAATTAATATATGGATATTACAATAATATGAACGCGCCGAATTAGCCTTCCGTATGCCTGTATACGGTAGCTAAACGTGGATGAATTATGAATTCGACGAGTGACTGAAGTCCCATAATATGGTTGTGATAAGCATAAAATACGCTTTTAACATGCCCTCTAACATTTACCATATTTTTTATTCTATTTTTGTGGCATTTTTATTATTATTATTTTTTTATATAGCTATAACTTTTATGTGAATTTGTACTTCTCTGGTTTAGGTCTATATTGTTTTTGTTATGTAAGCTTGATGAGGTGCCATGATTTTTGGCGCCTTCCGGGAAGTACCGTATCCTACGGGAGTGCCTTTTCGTGGGTGCTGACATGTTGTGGGTGACCCAACATCCAAATTTTTGGCTCTCTCTGTCCGTATCCTGTTTGTTTGGTATCAAAAATAAACAACCGCTTTTGTTGGTGCCTTCGTTTGATTGCATTTATTCGTAATCAGACTCATGGAATACATACAAAAAACAATTTACTAGATACTAACAGGATAAAAATTGCACAAAACATGACCCTAATTGCAAAGAAAAACCAAAAAATAAAATGATTTCCATTGAGCTCGTTGCAAAATAGAATTGCACATTGCACATTGTACATCTGTAAAATTTGTTCAATAAATGTTACGATATAAAATGCCAGAAAAACGAATGAAAGTAGAATGTTTGGTGTATAAACCAGTATCTAGTTCTTTTTAGTACGTATATTTTTGAAATTGTAAATTTTGTTTATTTTAATTTCCATTTTTCTTATTTTTCACAGCGCCTGGTTTTCAACAATGGCTTGAGATCGACCTAGGAAACGAATACCTGATAACACGAATTACAATAATAAACCGAGTTGAACCAGGACCACCTTTGCGTGGTTGTAAGTGTGTAGCATTGTATATGGAAAATGAACATTAATGATTGAATTAAAGTTATTTTAACAACTTCTTACATATTTCGGGTGAATAACTAACAACTCAATATTTCATATTTACTAGAATTTCAATGGATTTGTTCAATAATATTTCGGTGAGAGTTGTCATTTAAAATTTTTTAATAATAACTTTTGTTTAGTATTTTCAATTTTGGTTTTGATAATTAGTAGGGAAAGATATTCGCTGAAAGGCTTCAGGAGACAGTAGTATAACAGGTTTCTGATTGCTAAATGAATGAATAAAGGAGAACAAAAACCGCCATGTGCGTCTCTTCGCTCCTCTACATTAAGTGTGCTCTGAGCACTCAATCGGGTGAAAGGTCATTAAAGATAGCGGCTGCTGAAGTCTGAAATAGTTTACCATTTTCTTCTGCACCATCACTCAGGATACTTTCAAAAGGAACTTAAAATCACATCTCTTTCATAACGCATTTCACATGGAAAATGTTTAGTATGCGGGTTTGAAGCACCGTGAGCGTCGCAAGATTACCGTCGCTATATAAGTGCTAATTTATTATTATTATTATTATTATTATTATTATTATTATTATTATTATTATTATTATTATTTAATTGTATTATTTATTAAATCCCAAATTGTTTTATTGATATTTAGGTGATGATTGTCATTTGCGACTTAACGATGCTGCCATTGGAATTGGTTCAGGTGGCGACATCGCAAATTTTACCAAGTGTGGAGAATCTGTAACTCTCGCCCAAGTAGAGCTAAGTCCAATTATTGACGTAAGATGTCAATAACCAATCAGTGGCCGCTACGTCACTGTATGGTATCCTACAAAATCAGAGCAGTTAAACTTTTGTGAAGTCAGAGTCTACAACGAAAACGAACCAGATATAAGTAAGTAAATTTCAAATATATCCGTACACTATATGGAGATATAATAATATTATATTATATATTTTATTTTTTATTTTAAAATATTATTATGTAAACACATAGGCCTAGTGACTGGCTTTGTGTTGTTGATGAATGAAGTCAGTCGTTGATAAACGAAAATAAACAAAGGTACGATATATTAATACATAATTTTCTGCCGCTTTAGGAAAATTCGACAGCACACTTCTCCCTGTTGGAACCTGGAAGCTAAATATAAACGCTCTATTGTATCAGCTTGACGTCAAGACGACATCACCAATGATAAATATTATTGACCATCAGTGGACTAAAGTGTTGGAGCCCGTCAACCAAATCATCAAATTAGACAAGATCAACTTCAGTTCGTTCCACGCTTTTACCGTCGCTTTCTACATATATCCCTATAATTTTTCAATGGGAAATATCATTTTAATCGGTGATGCAGATTCTCTGCGGATGGAACAAACCTATTCAAATGGCCGTCTCTACCAGTCCGAAGTGACCGTATATTTTGATGACCAGCAGCTTACACGGGCCCATGTTCTATTACCTGAGACCTGGACATTTCTTACCCTGGCGTTTAATGGCACAATCACACTTTGGAGAAATGGAGAAATAATGAGCTTTAACAATACTAGCTTAACCTCTCTGGATGCACATCAACTACAGATTGGGAGTGCCACAGGTCAGCTGTTTGCTGAAGTAGCCGCGCTCCAGTTGTATGATCGTGCACTGAACGAAGCAGAAATAAAATTGGCGATGTCTCAACCACCAATTTTCACAAGTAAGTATTTGGCTACAATGCATGGTAAAATACAAACATGTATAAATATACATAATTATCGATGATGTTCAACAAAAACTAGGCCTACGTTTTTGTTAATTCCAAATAAAAACGGAAAGGCCTACTTTGTGAGTACATCTAAAACTGTTATTTAGGTGACTGGTGATTTTATTTTTAGGCAAACGTGCATTGTTCGAGATGCTGGGTCCGTTCAAAGGTTTTTCGGGACAAATCCTTCAGAAAGGCGTCACCAGAACATATGGCGACTGTTCTCGAATGTGTTTAAGATGTCTTTGCTGTGATGCTTTCAGATTCGGGAAGAACGATCACGTGTGCATCTTAATCTCAAATCACGTAGTAATCGATAATGAGGAAATGAACTTTGACACGTATCGATTAATCGCTCAGTATCCTCCTCTGTTGAACAGGAAAGTCATATGCTTCGATCAAGAATAGTTCGTTCTGACTAGTGAAATTTTTGCGATACTTTTAACATTTTTATGTCATCTTTTAAAGAAAAGTTAAATTTTTTTGTACCTTAGGGACTAAGTAGCCCAGAGCTAGACCCAGGACTAATATGTAAATCATGGAATATGCGAAGTCAAAAGAATATTCTCTATAGCAACGCCTTATAAATATTACTGCTCATGCTCAGTATGTCTGTTTGAACAGTTTCTCAGGCAAATAGGAGTATACACAGTCAAATTATGTTTTTATCTCATTTATAGTGTTTTGATTGTAATATTAGAATTGTGTCTTACACACTTGCACAGTATGCCTAAATTTGTTTTGTGGTGAATAATTAATTCTGACAACTTTAAAATTGTTTTGAAAATTCATTATATTTTTCTGAAGTTAGAGGTTACATGGTACTCCAACAGCTGAATCCTGGTCGATGACATGTGTAGCCTAGAATTCATTCGTCTGATATGCTTACATTTTTCAGAGTACAATAATTATATGAGTATTGAATAAGGAAAACCACTAAAAACAGAAATGAAATTAGAAGTGTAACGTAATTTATATTCAAATTTTATTATATAATTATTTCAGTAACATCCATAGATTGTAAAACCATTGATTT